CGCCGGACATTCCGTGAAAAGAGGTTCGTGTGTGTGGGGCTGCGACGGCAGGGTTATTGGACTTGAATCAACACGATTTACTACAAACTTTTGATTTCAAGGAAGTCGGTCAGCCTCTTTGTGTCGCAGACTCATCTAAGTTCCATCTGCTAAAAATATTTAAACTATCATCAACTCACAACCGTCACTATTGGCTTCAAAATGCCCCACTCTGATGGTTTCTTTCCACTTTTTTTACTTATAATTTACAATCTCATGACGAGTAAATTGAAAATGCCTTCAATGCAAAATGACTGCGAAGTATTCTAGGGGTGATATTTATCTTTTGATTTGGGCGCGGTGGCTCATCATATTTGAACGATAACCGCTTTTGATTGAATAACCGCATTACAGTAAAAGACAACGGAAAACGGAGTTGACAATGTGGGATTGTTTCAATAACGACATTTACCTGTGCCGAACACGACTCTGTGCCTTTCGTCTGCATCGCTGAGTGACTAGCTTACGCTAAAAGACTGCTCTTACAAATCTCAGTTTTGAAACTTTACTGGGATATGGTCGAGCGATCAGCGCAATTGCGATTCCCCTTGTGCCAACTTGCCAACAATGCGGTCGAGGGTAGCATTTGATAAAACCCAACTGCGTTGTTTCGCGTTTTTGCGACAACGCTCATGTCGCAAATCCCAAGCATCATCCAGTTTGAATGGCCAAAACCAAATTTTAATCAAGCCTTTGTCGAGACTTCTGTCAGAGGGGCAGTTGTATGAGAGGCGTGCACTTATTCACAGATGGTTGGGCATGCTTTGAGCAAACATTGTAAAGCTCGCGTCATGTGTCTCGAACTGCATTGGCGTCGCCCAAGTTAATGGCCGCGACTCAGCCCATCAGGTAGGTGTGGGGGCTAAGGGGCAAACCGGAGATGAAGGGGAGGCGTCAGTTCGTAGGATGGTTGGGCCGTGTCGCTGTGTCGTGTCGTGTTTATTCGCATGTTGTGGACGCGCACAGGGAGGATTTGAGTGAAGGAGGCCGTCAATCCACGTAAGTCGGACATACAGGCATCTGAATGAAACCATGCGTGGGGGGAGTGGGAGGGGAGGTGTGTGTGTGTGTGTGTGGGCGTGGCTTCACAATCAGACGTGACCGTATGAACTATGTGGACGCTGCGAAAGGGGACGGTGTGCATGAGCACGTTACGACAGGTTTTTCTGCAGGCGTTGCTTTAGAGGACTTTCATTTCCAGGCAGCTCCTTTGTCATCTGTAAAAAGCGTTCGCCAAACCGAGCCGATTTACGATGACTCGAAGCACTTAATGTAACTTACTGTTTTGACTTCTAACAGTGGCGCTTTTCTGTGAGACATCCCGCTTAAATTTTAATCGAAAATATAAAGTCAAGAAATCCTTATAAGCCACTAATGAAGCTTAGTTTTGCACTCTTAGATCATCGATTTCCGATAAATTAATTTAAAAACCCTTAATGCACGAATCCTACTGATGGGAAGTAACTTTTGCAGTCCTTATTTTCTAGAATCATTCCCAAATGGAAATATAAAAGCCACTGGGTTTATAACTGAACGGTTAATTTATAATGCGTAGTTTAAGATTTAACAATAGCCCCTTCGGAGGTGCTAATATTCAGCCTTCCTGCACCATTTTCATTTTCCAAAAGTAAACCAGCAATCTTCTGCTCAAGCAAGGCTGTAAAGTTGAGAAAACTAGATCTGCGTGACTCATGAGGGCGATTTTGGGTCTTTACGAAGGGTTTAATTTGTGCTGATCATTGAATTGAATTCTCAACTTTGGAATAGCGTCGTCATAAAATTGAATTTTATTAGCAATACTTGTATTTCACTCTTGATCTGATTTAAGCACATTTCAGGCATGGTGTTGAAGGCAAGACGGCTAAATTTAGATATGCACAGACTTGTTATAACTAAGTTAAGTGTCACTCTGATTAAATTCTTCGCAAAAGATAATGCGTTCCGCCATACGTGTTTCGTGGCCTGAGAGAATCGGATATAACAGCGTGCCAGTTCTCATTTGAAGTCTTATTAGGTCAATCGACAGGTTGGTTTTAGGTGGCATTAGAATTTTGCATTTTCTGGGATTCAGTCATCAGTTGGTTCAGTAATAACTTATGAGAATTTAGTAGCGATAAGCTCTCGTACACTCCTGCCAATGTATCAACCGTGAATGGAGACAGGAACAAAGAGGGAGAGGAAGGTGCGTAGCAACTTGAAGTTAAAATGTTTCGGCTACTTTTTTTTACTCAAACGACACTACAGACCGCTTGCAAGGGATGTTCCATGGCAAGGCGACTGAGGGTGCCTTTTAACACTATCGACACAGACGATGACGTAGGATTGTAAGCACATATGATTGAATCTGAAACTGGGATGTGGGAAATCTAGGAGGGCTGGGGCGCAGTTCTTTTATGAAACCCTTCAAGTGGTCGACAACCGATGAAAGGGGAAAATTAAACACTGTTGCCAGAATTAGCGACCATTACATCCGACAGACTTGAAGCAGTACCGAGCAATTTCAGCTGGATTGGAATTGGTGTCCTCCTTCACGACATCGTATCAACTCGAGCGTGTGTCCGATCTGCGAGTTAGGCTTTTGCAATTATGGGTGGTTCTGTAGTGAATCGTGTTGATTCACGTCCACTAACCCAGTCGTCGCAGCTTCCAGCCTACGTCCCCCCTTTTCACGGCGTGCCCGTCAGTCACGTGGGGCTACTGGTTCATTAACCCATCTGCATGTACCACCACCACCCTCTTTAGTCATGTGACCTCAGAGATGCCTGTTTTTTTACATGTCCACTCAACTGTATAAGTGCATGCCATAGCTGGACTTAATTTCTTCCTGGGTTACTTCGTGTGGTAAAGGGAATCAGAGGTTTGGTTAGAGGGAAAAAACACGTGACCAGACATGATTTGTGCACTTTAAACGGAACTACTAGTTTCGATAGCGCCTAATGTTCACCTCCACGAATCTATAAAATCCGGGTGCAACAGTTTCGGGTAAATTGTCCCTAGTGGGCAATGATATCAGCCAATTGGCAAAACGGTACAAGATCCAACTAAATCGACATGAACCCATCGGAAACGTGTTAAAACCTGACTTGATATTCTCTAAGGTTAGTGTTAACCGTGTGGCCACCGTAGTCAAGTTGATGAGCACGTGGCAAGTCTTCTCAACCCAAAAGTTGATTGGTTTGTTTGTATTCAAGTGACAAACAAACGAAACAACGCCAAAGCTTAAATGATAAATGATAAATTCGTTGATTTGTAGACAGCACTGCGGCACGCTTGACTGTTCAACGTGTGGCGACCAGCAAGCCAGCACAGTTAGCATTCATGAGCGGATGCAGTTTGCAAGCGCGAGCGAACACAAATTAATCGATTTTTACCGCGAGTGTGGACAGACAGCCACTGCGCGCGTGAGTGCTGCGTGTATGCTTACCCGACTGTAACGATGACTCACCCCCTTTGTTATTGATTTTTTGTTAGCAGTCGCTTCTAATGCACGCGTATCGATCCAAACACAGAAATTAGTTGCTCGATTTTACGAGACGCGACTTGACTGGCGTGACGCGATTAAACCGTCGTGTTCTTTCAACTCGACTCTTTGCCTTCTCTTTTCTCGGGTTGTGACCGTCTTTTACCAATAGGGTTTCGCGGTAGTGCTAATTTAGGCCCCTACAAATTGGTGACCCCGACGAATGTGTTGCATTAATGAACGCAGAATTATTTTAACTTTGGTTCTCAAATCATGGCATGGCGCGGATTCTGGTATTGGCTACTACACAGATGTAACAAGCGCAACCAGTGCACTCGAAATTGAGATGTTGGCTACCAGGTTTTCAGACAAATGCTTAAGCGTCGGAGGGTGTAAAACATTAGCCAAGTTCTTATGTGAAGTTTCCAAGTTGCTAGACACGTTTTTAGTGACTTGGGAAGGCTCTGGGAATTACTCCCTTGAGGCGTTAATCGCTCAAATGTTCTCCATTTAGAATTGAGTGCATTCATCAAGCAACATTCAAATTTCGCTAAGGCACTTGAAACTGAATCGAAAAAAGTGCAAAGAGCGTTAACAGGAATTTGACAGTCTTGTACTTTTGATTTACACCAAAGTAACATTACAACCAACTGAGGACTTTTGGCTGTGGACAGGAAAGCCAGTTGCATTAACCAAAAAAAGGTTTAAAAAATCCTGAGCCCTCTTTAATATCAGGATCTCTTTGGGGAAACCAGACTGTCCATTGAGTTGACCACAAATTATTTTTTTTGAAATGTAGGCAATAGACAATAATACAAAAAATGATGTAGATCTGGGAAACACCCTTATGTTTTTGTGTAAAACGGAGCAAGCACATAAAAAACTCAAGAGATTTGGCTCATAAAGGGATCAAAAGTCTTGGATATTCCAAACTCCGAGGATCAAAACTAGACAAGAAATGCGAGTACATAAAAGTTTAGATGAAACCAATACCAGTAAAGAAGCAGCCTAGTTGGTGTTGTTGTCTTTGAATTATGCACACACCTTCCTCAACGCACGGACATACAGCGGGCCAGTGCCGAGGTGAATGTCGTCATAACTGCTATCATCATTTTCAGGCGTTAAATGTTTTGGGTTAAAAAGCTCTCCAGTTATGGATGAACTATTCTGTCCACAAGTCTCAAACCGCTCTCAGCATTGTGCGAGACCGTTTCATCGCCCGTAATTATGGTGCCTCAAGTGGCAGGCCTGTGTTTTCCCATGAATGCCGGTCTTGTAACCAGTCTATGTAAAAGTCAAAGCCTGCCAGGTAAAAAAGAGCTAGTTAATTTGAATTTACTGGAAAAAAATAACCCCAACGGTCAGGATACTTTCAGCAAGGTGGCCGCAAGGGAATTCTTGTGGCCAGAGCCTGTGGGTGGCATAATGAATGATGCGAAGGTAGGAGTTCCATGTGATCTGCGGTAATATGTGAGTTTAAGCATGGGAACTGAAATAAGACTAACTTGTATAGCTTATTTAACCGCAATGCGTCTTGATTCCATGCCGCACTCAGGTTTAGGGGTATGTTAAGAATCGTGTCAACCTTTGGGCCACACTAGGCTAAGGTGTCACCGAGCAATCACTCCGTGACACATATTAATCAGTAACAATTGGGTTACATTGAAATTGACTCAAGCGAGACGGTTTTGGCCCAAACAGCTGCATAGTATTAACCAGACTTACTATAGCTTCTTCCAACCCACTGATGACAGACTCGATATGTGCTAAATGGCCGCTTAAAATAGTCTCATCTGCACTAAGTGAAATCATTTTGCTACACATCACAGCCGCCTATGGCGATGAAATCGGCCGTATTCGATAAGCAGGAAATGTAAGAACCAATGGCAAATTATGACCTCCATGCCCAGGCACCAGTTTTGGAGGAGCCTTCACGCTACATTCCAAGTTATCGTCTTGCATTTTAATGCCGACAGGTCAGGTCTACGAGCAAACCACGCGCACACAACACGATGCCTGACGGGTGACCACACGCAAATACCCACACCGTTGTGAATGTTGCCGATGGTGGCGGCCCGGCGGTAGTACAGTGCGAGATATTTCACGTGCTAACTGGAACCACAGGGTCGCCGGTAAGTCAGTGAGTCCCCACGACTGAGTGTGGAATCCGACCAGACCATTCAAACTGCAGGGTCTCTTGCGTTTGCAATTGTTGCTTTTTCCGCTATTCCTCCGTTACGGTAACTAACAAAAGCTAGTTTCGGGATTGGAGTCCTTTAGATCTTGAATAAATGGCAATTAAGCACCAGAAATCCACCTCCGGTTAAATTATGTCCATTACCTAGGCTACCTCACTTAGGCGCACTTAGAGGAACTAGGGTTAATTTGGGTCAATCAGTTCAAGGCACCTTGCCGTTTGGCTTTGTGGTTGTATTTTGGGCAGTCAGATCGAAAAAAACACGCATGACACTCTTGTAGCTCAAATAGGATACTTTATTGACATCAGTCTGATTGTCGATCATCCGCATAAACAGAAACGAAATGACCGATACACAGAACCTATCATCTGCGTATTTAACCAACAAGAGATCAATGCGAGTGGGAAGACCGCTACGTGCCACCGTTTAGAAGAAATCATTTTACACCCCCAACCCATCCAAAAAGAAACGACACAGTAGGACCCATCGTCAAAGTTAGAAAATTACCACACAATCATGGCTGGTATCAATTAGAAAAGTAAGAAAACGTTGAGAGAATTGTGCTTGAAGCGAGAGGCCCCGGGTGGTCACGAGGAGCTTTTCGACTGTTTGTAGAAGTTGGCCAAAACGTCCCAGGCCGAGGGGCTCATAAAGCCGTTGGGTGGACGCTCGCCTTGTCGAGCCAAGGTGCGCATTTTCGTGCCCGAAATGAAAATGAACTCGTCGCGTCTCGCCTCATCAAATATCTCCATTCGGTGGTGAACTTTGTTGTAGGCGGCGACTCGAAACGGCACAATCTCTAGCCCTGGAAGACCTGGAGCCATTGACAGCACCTAAAACCGAATTGTCGTTCGAAATTTTACTCAAAACATCAATCAAAATTGTTCGCGTCAGAGTTATGCAGGAATAATACAACCTTCTGACTGTGCTTTCTGAAATGGCATTGACCAAATCAAGCAGATGGCAAGTAAAGCTACAGTTATTCCAACACACTGAAATATTATTTATCTGTGTTAATTGAAAGTGAAAATAAGCGAGCCAGTTGTTCTAGGAACGCAAGACTGCTTCGATCTTAACAACACTAAGGCAAACATTTATTACCAACCGAAATGCAGCTTGAAGCAAATCAAGTCCCCGTGTAAAAGGCACAAATTGAATTATTGAAAATCTAAGTAAATTGGGTTTGGTAATCAAAATTAGGACACTTAAGTCACTCTCATTAATACTATTTCAGAAAGAGATGGTATTTAGTATAAAAAGCAGAAATCGATAAATGCATGAAGCGAACTAATAGGCATCACCAATGATCCATTAGGCTTTCTGAATTCCTGTTTTCGAATGTAATTTAAGCGGTATAGCAAGCAGAAAAACGTCACTGTTGGGAGTCTCCCAGACCCCCGTTTCGCAAAGCCAAAACAGTTGCAGTAGGGACATCGGACAATTCACGTCCATCAACCCAGTCGCCACATGCACACCGTCCCCTTTCGCAACGCCCACATAGTTCATACGGTCACGTCTGATTGTGAAGCCACGCCCACACACACACACACACACCTCCCCTCCCACTCCCCCCACGCATGGTTTCATTCAGATGCCTGTATGTCCGACTTACGTGGATTGACGACCTCCATCACTTATATCTTCCCTGTGCCCGTCCACAAAATGCGAATAAACACGACACGACACAGCGACACGGCCCAACCATCCTACGAACTGACGCCTCCCCTTCATCTCCGGTTTGCCCCTTAGCCCCCACACCTACCTGATGGGCTGAGTCGCGGCCATTAACTTGGGCGACGCCAATGCAGTTCGAGACACATGACGCGAGCTTTACAATGTTTGCTCAAAGCATGCCCAACCATCTGTGAATAAGTGCACGCCTCTCATACAACTGCCCCTCTGACAGAAGTCTCGACAAAGGCTTGATTAAAATTTGGTTTTGGCCATTCAAACTGGATGATGCTTGGGATTTGCGACATGAGCGTTGTCGCAAAAACGCGAAACAACGCAGTTGGGTTTTATCAAATGCTACCCTCGACCGCATTGTTGGCAAGCTGGCACAAAGGGAATCGCGATTGCGCTGATCGCTCGACTCGGATTTATAATGGCAATACTGTGTTTTCAGCTGGTCACTCAGCGATGCAGACGCGAGGCACGGAGGCGTACTAGGCAAAAGTGGATTTTGCAGTTAAAAGAATCATGTTTTGTCAACTTCACTTATAGTTACCGTATTTTCCAGTTAGGCCTCGTAATGGCATCCAGTACTTCATGGTCGTACCTGATAAGCCAATGCCACCACGAGGGTAGGTGAATTGCATCACTAGAAGTTCGTGCTGTCATTTTGGGGGAACAATAAAGTTGTTATACACTTTGCGCTGTTTTTGAGTAACCAGACGTTTAATGCCGACAATAAGTAAGGATTGCAGGGACATGGATGTGATTTATAAGCAGTACTTGTCAAGACTGCCTCTGTATTGGGTGATCACGTCGTGCGGCACGCAGTCATGGTGAAAGTTAATCCCATTTCGACTGATCGTAATTTTAGGTAGTGCTTCAATTTTGACCCCGGGGTGGGTGAATTGCCCACAGTCTTTCTCCGCAGTTGCGGTCTGGCCAAATTCAGAGGCAAAATCATTGAGACACACGCCTCGTGAACTGCGCTCTTTAGCCGTGGAAAGATCACCGTACGGCGTGACTACGATCTGATCCGAATGGCAAAAGTTATGCAGGCAAACGCTTGCCCGTCCACCTGGTTCGCTGAACCCCTGACACACTTGCACACTCCGCCAGAGGAGGCTTTAGACTAGACGTTTCACAAACAAGGTCAACTGCTATCTCGGGAGATAATAGGGTTCGGTGTTTGCATGGCGGTTGTGACGAAGTCTAAAGCAATTAGAGGTTGTTTTGCAATGATGGCCAGTGAGTGGAATTTCGACTGACCAATCATTGTCAAAGACAGGCCTTGAACGCACGCACGTGTTCAATTCAATCGTCAAAGGAATTGGGCTGGAATTGTGGAAAACACCCAATTTCGAGGGTGACAAGAGATTTGGAAATGCAAATGGTAAAATTGCAAACAAGGCAGAGGTGAAGGCCATTCCGAGAACACTAATGACTGCTATGAGTTGATGACAGTGTGTATTGGTGGAAAAGGTTTTTTTGACATCGAAGATAAAATATACGTGAAATAGGCGTATAGAATAAACTTGGATTAAAAAGGCATTAACTTTGAATACCTTCCGTCTCTGCATGGAGTTGTTAAATTCCGATTCGTGTACGGGGGCACAGCTAACTTAGCAAGAAGACGCATTAAAAAAACACAATGGCATAACTAAAGGTATCAACTATCTAGGAGATCAGGCGCAGCAAACAAAGTGGTTTCTCTTAAATATCCTCAAAGGATCGGACGACTTCCTGAACAAACTGAAACGACTTTATTGGTCATTTGCCGCACAAACAACTAAGGTCAACTGCGTGGATTCACCAATGGATTTAGCGCCTGCCTGGAACTTTCCCTTCCTTTTCGTAATTATCGCGCACGCCATAATCCAAGAAAGATAACCGCCTACGAATGTTAATCCATCCCATCCTCACAACTTAGGAGGCATTAGTGACCACAAATTCGCAAAGATAATTAACGACTTTGTAATTACCAGGCGTAGTTATAAGGTATTTTTTTTAGGAAAAATCACAATAAATCATTATTCTAGGAGTTACCAAACAATTTCCAGAGAGGAAGCACGACAGCACTGGCAGAGGTACATCAAAACACGCCTGCCGATGTGTTTTTGAGAAAAGCGAACTTACAATCCTGCCGGCCCATCAATTAATCAATTTAGTGGTAGGTGATCGCTCACATCTGCAGAAGACAAGTTACAGTTTAACACGGTGGTGCTGCAGGCAGTATCCACACTCAACATGTCCAATGTCGATCACTCTGCCGGCGTGTACCTGCTTACTAAATGTCAGACAACTTCTAAGAACCAACACTGGCTTGTAGCACAATTCATTTTTGTAAAAGTAGCTTTTGATTTATCCACGAGCCCTCCACTGTTGCATATTTTATCAAGGAGTGAGCGACAACACTCCCATCTCCCACCAATAAGCGATAAACGGATAAGAAAGAACTTCTTGTGTGGGTTCAACTGAGCCAACTACTTTCCTCTTGCCTTCTCCAAAAATCTGACTAACTAAGGGAAAACGCTGCCCAAGTGGTCTTCCGCAGGGCCAAACGCACCTTGGCTCCGTGAGTTGGATCGTAGAGGTCGCCGGGCTGACTTGGATGCGGCAAGCCGGCAGGGTCGCGGCCCACGATGTAGAAGTTGACGCCGGCCACAAGACGGCACCGGGCGTGCCACTGGACCTCCCTGGGCCCGGCGTAGAGCATCGGCGAGGGGAAGATGGCCAGGAGGGTGTGGTGGGGGTCGAGGACGCCGTCCTGCAGGCACGCCAGGTGCTGCGCCATGCGCACCGACAGCGGCACGTCGTCCGACTTGGTCCACCCGCCCAGCGGATGCAGCAGCAGCAGGGGGCGCGCGAAACCACGCTCCTCCATGAGCTTGCGACGCGTCTCCTGCATTAGCAGGGCGTGGCCGTTGTGCACGGGGTTGCGCAGTTGGAAAGCAAACACGCAATCGGCCTGCCAAGGTCAAAACGACGCAATGTTGTTTCAATAGTTAGCTTGGTTTTAGTCGCCAGATGCCATTCCCAACTCCGTTGCATTACAGACAGTGGTTCTCCCAGTGGGTAATCAGTCTCGCTTGCAGGCAATTTAAGGCAAGAAAAATGTTGTTTTGTAAACAATAAAGACGATTTAGTTCACCAAAATATTGCTTTGTGGCTCTGTCAAACGATTTGTGCATCTTGCAATAGGGCGGCTTAATAAACCGAATCCGCGTCTGCTGTGAACTTGACAGGAGGTAGCGCTTGGGGGTATGGGAATACCGCTTTGCATTGGTTTGGCCCAAATCCACCATTTTTTTCGCTACTTCAAACCCCCTCCCCCCCGACAAGGCAAGATACTTACCTCTTGGGGAGGGAGAATTTGCCATTTAATTGGCCGTTTAAGTCACCTCCAACCGGCGTCAATAAGGAGAAAAATTTAGCACGCGACTATCATGACGCATTTAACCATTTGAGTGGATGTAAGTACTTTTTAAAAATGCGGATCCAATTAAGATGCGCGACGATGTTGTCGTCGTTCGATTTATATGTCAGAACGACCATCTATAAGCATGCACTTCTAGGGTGTCGGTGAGACAGCCGGCCTACAACCACGCACACTGACGCGTAATGTCAATGTTTCGATAAGCGGCGCAGGCTCAGCTGGACAACCAAACGGCTTGTTTGTCGTCTCGGAACGGAATGACCTTGAAATGCAACCACTCGGGGATCTGGGTTGGACCCGTCTCATGCCAGCGTAACGCTTTTGTAACATTCGACCACGCGATTGTTGCCAGAGTGAAAAGAAAGACTGCTTTTTATAAACTAGACATGCACAGAACTCGATGTAAGCACTGAGTGCAACGTCCCGAGTCGAAGTCACAAGACGCCAAGCGACTCGGCTACTGCCTCGCTTCCGCTTGCCAAAAAAAACAGCTCAAACGTGCCTGTGGTTTTTTACAAGTAAAATTACATTTTCAAGCAACAAGCGGACATTTGGAAACTGTCAGCCAAAATTGCGGAAATTCAACTTCCAAATCGCCATTGGATGAAATCGAGCAGGCTTAAATTTTAAAAAGAACATTCCAGTCAGAGATCGCAGCAGGACACGTCAATAATCACTCTCCTGTAATAGGTCTGAAAGTGCCTTCATTGGAGTAAAAACAGCAAAGTTGAACATCGAAAGAACACGCAAAAGCACTTAAAAGCATGAATTTGTGCTGCAAAGTTGCAAAAGACAAGAGTTTGCGCATACGAATGGATGCCGAAAGCGAAGCAAATGCAACAGCAATCTGAGTGACTGCCTTTTTTTAATTTTTTGAAAGGAATACTACCGAACTTTCTGATACACCGCATGAGTTGCGTCAGTTTTGTGCTTGACTTTTTTTCTCACCGGACAATATAATCAACGATGAAAAAAGGCGTCGCTTTTTGAGGCAAAAGGTAATGCAAAAACACCCATCATGGTGTAATGCTAGTTCAAAGGCCTGGGTGAAGTCTTTCGATCAAAGACAGCATTTTGAAGTAAACTGGGCGAGATATACGATGAGTTTAGGGTGATGTTGGTTTGATCAACCTCTTGTTAAGGAGACACTTGCTTAGACGACGGTTGTGATCCTGTTGAGGAAGTCAGATTACCCTAATACTTCTATACCTTTTACATTTTTTTAATATACCACATAAATAACCCCATATGATTCGGGTCGACCGCGCACTCATCCCATTGGCTCATCGTCGCCTCAGGTGTCACATCAACTTTATTGGACTATCCAGGTCAGCCACAAGGTCCTGCCATGGTCCCTGAACTTGGAAAACAAGGCTCAGTTTGAAATCGTTACGTCTGCCCGTAACAAAAGAAAACACCTACACAGGTAACGGTACCCGATCCCTTGTTGACGCTAGAACCGACCTTCCCATGCTGCTACAAGAACAAGACCCAAGCTCGTGTGTAGAGAGCGTTAGTCGCGTCAGCTACGTGCGAGCGAGTTGTCAAAAGTGGACAGAAATTCAAGTCAAGGTTAACCTTGACCTGATAAAAAGCGTAATAAAACACATGTTAGGGAATTAGTGTAAATAATGACAAAAGTCGGCGATGAGCAATCTTAGGGAATCCTCGATCCCGAACAGAAATACAAAGGAAAAAGACTACCGGGACTTGATTTGATTTGACGACCTATTCAAGCACAGAAAAAAGTGGCAAAATTTGAGCACGATAAAAGGCCGTAGTTTAGTCACCGTGCCACCGCAGAGATATGGGTGGTCGTAAAAGCCTTTTATTTGTCCATATCTGTCCACGCGCAATTCACAACACGAGGCCAGACAAAGCGAACAGAACCGGGGACCGCTTATTTGGAAAGACTGACTGCGCACCATAAAGCACAGCCACAAAGCAATGGTCGTGCTGGTGGGAGGGGGGCGGCGGGTTTGTGTGTGTACGAGCCTATCCAGCGCATTTACAGGACAAAATTTAAATAAAAAGCGTATCACGCAAATAAGTCTGACTCTAATTGATATCAGCACCATTAAAAAGTCATAGGAAAGATCATAAAGAGTTAAAAAAGAAACAGTACAAGTGTAAATATGCAAAAATTAACTAAAATTGTCGCGTAAAAATGGAAAATTGAAAAATCAAATGGCTTAGCCGGTCAATTTGAATAAGTAAAAGGCCGCAAGTTTTCTATCCTTTGAGTGATTTACCGCAGAAGCAACTACAAATGTGCACGAATGGTGACTGCGAGTGAGCTGGCATCAAAGCACCAAGCAAAGGCTTAACCGAAAGCAACATGCAACGATATCTGCAAACTTTTTTCACAATTATGGATTTGACTCGGGGTATTGTCAGTGAATTTTCGTGTAATGAGGTAACAAGTTTCTCCAGTTCATTCGCACACATTTGCAGAGAGCAGTAGAAATGGTTCGAAGCAAACTGCTGATGCCTTTGTGTCGCCATGACGATAAATGCTAACAATAATTGCACTTTTTAAGCATATTGCAGCTCACGGATTTAGGGACATAAAAAATAAACCGAAGATTAGAAAATTTGAACATCTTCAATGTGTTGTGAATCGTGTTTAGTGAACCCCTTAATCCGATCGCCCCGCCTCCGACACAGGGTTCCCCTTTTTCGCAGCGTGTCGCCAGCTGCGCGGATCCTCAACTCCCCCTTCATTCACACGAATATCTATCTTGGATTATCCTCACACCTAGGTCTCAATGTTAGCGCACTTATGGCTTACACATCCGAGGTATAAATACACTCGCGCAAACCCCACCCACGACACAACGACACCAGTTTTGGTTGAGCTCTGAAGTAAACGATCGTCTCCCGTCCTCTCCTGTCTTTTTCCTTCATCGCGAGTATGAGGGAAGGGTAATCGGGCCGGGGTTAATTCCGGCGTGGTTCAAGACCACGTGCTGGGGCCCACAACAAATGTATAGTCGGTTACAATGCCAATTTAGTGCATGACTTCATACTTCCGCCGAAACACTGACAACGACTAGGCCAAACATCAGCTCTTACTTGTTCTGGTGTCAGCAACTCCTGTGGCGTGACGTTAAATGTGCGCTGTAACAGATAGAAATTCGTAATTTCATTCCTTCTCAACGGCTACCTGGCTACCTTACAGAAATGTTAATTTTAAACGCTTGTTTGCACTCATATTCATTTCCAAACTATCAACGAATCGAGAAAAAAATGTACTAAATGGCTACATCAGGGATGGGCACATCCAACAGCCGGCAAATCACAATTTTCATGACAAGCACACACACCTTCAAT